CAAATCTCACTTCAGATTGTAATCAATTTCTCAACATTGAAAATATTTTTGCTTACAGTTGCTCCAGACTATTTAAAGGCTAATTGTTCAGTCACTTCCAGGGTGACTTCTAAGGTCCAATTTTCCTGGGACTGAGGAGGTTCCCAGAATTTGGAATTTGGGACTTCCAGTGTTAAAACCAGAAAGGTCTGGGCAACCTGACATAAACAGATCTTCCTAGCACTTCCAACTGGGCAATGACTCTGAATTATCAAGTGAGCACTATTGTGGTAACACCTGTTAGCCCCTCAGGAACCAAGGAAAATGTTCACAGTCATTTGTCTTGTTTTTAAGCTATTGATGTTGCTTCCTCAACTCTTCAAGCAACTGTTTTCACTGAAAGGCCAGCGCTTTTAAGTTTATTTTGGTGGCTCACGCCTATAATCCCAACACTTGGGATGAGGAGGGAAGACGGCTTGAGATCAGGGGTTCCAGACCAGCGCAGGCAACAAAGTGAGACATCTCTACAAAAATAGTTAACTGGGTATGATGGCGTGTGCCTGTGGTTCCAGCTACTTGGGAAACTGATGGGGAGGTCCACCTGAGCCTGGCAGGTAGAGGCTGTGGCGAGCAACGATCATACCACTGCACTGCAGCGTGGGCCAGAGTGAGATCTTGTCCCTAACAACAACAACACCATTGATTTGGCTTGGCCCAGTGGCTCATGCCTGTAATCCCAGCACTTTGGGAGGCTGAGGCTGGCGCATCACAAGGTCAGGAATTCGAGACAAGCATGGCCAACATGGTGAAACCCTGTCTTTACTTAAAATGCAAAAATTAGCCGGGTGTGGTGGTACATGCCTGTATTCCCAGCTACTTGGGAGGCAGAGGCAGGAGAATTGCCTGAACCTGGGAGGTGGAGGTTGCAGTGAGCTGAGATCATGCCACTGCACTCCAGCCTGGGACACAGGGAGACTCCATCACATACACACACACAGAAAGTTTAGGGATGCAGTGGCTCATGTCTGTAATCCCAACACTTTGGGAAGCTGAGGTGGGTGGATCACCCGAGGTCAGGAGTTTGAGACCAGCCTGGCCAACATGGTGAAACCCCGTCACCACTAAAAATATAAAAATTAGCCACGCTTGGTGACTCACACCTGTAATCCCAGCTACCTGGAGGCTGAAGCAGGAGAATTGCTTTTATCTGGGAGGTGGAGGTTGCAGTGAGCCAAGATCACACCATGGCACTCCAGCCTGGGCAACAAGAGTGAGACTCTGTCTCAAAAAAAAAAAAAATAAAAAAAAAAAGTTTATTTTCTCTGACCACATTTCTTCTGCTGTTGGAATCAAACACAATTATCTCATCATTGCTAAATAGCCTTCCTTGTTTGGCTAACAAGCCACTTGAAACCTAACTTTAGTTACACCCTCATTTTCCTGTCAAGAAATTGAGTGCTGATATACCATTTTAAACATCTAACACTTCTGATGCGTTCCTGAGTTGAGAATACTGCAGGGATGAAATGCACAATCTGTAGTGCGTCCAGCAGCAGTGCTAAGCAAAGGGGCACATACAGTCTGTCACAACTGAGTTCTACAGGCAGCATATACGCAGAAGTATGGCTGCATTCCAGTAAGTCTTTACTTACATACACTGAAATGTGAATTCTGTATCATTTTCATGTGTTATACTTTTCCCCCACCACTTCAAGAAATAGCCTTTGCTGCACTAAAGTGAGATTTTAGAATTCATATTAGCAGTCTCAAACCACAGATCAGCAAGGGCTACAATTTCCAGTCACGGTGACCAGTTGCCTTGGCTTTGGCCACACAGTATTTCAATGACAGTAATGGAAAACCCTGTTCTGAACTTATGTCAACTTCATTCATTTGCTAATCAAAGGCCATTTCTGTAGCATCTCTTCACTTGACGTTCCATCTTATGGCCAACATCCAGCTTGTGAAATGCGTGGCTCCAACTGAAACTTGTCTATGGATTAATTCTTTGTTTCCTTTATAGCTTTTTGTCTGATATATTATATATAACAGCAACACGAAACTCATTTTTTTTTTTTTTTTTTTTTTTTTTTTTTGATGGAGTCTCGTTCTTGTTGCCCAGGCTGGAGGGCAATGGCATGATCTTGGCTCACTGCAACCTCCACCTTCCGGGTTCAAGCGATTCTCCTGCCTTGGCCTCCCGAGTAGCTGGGACTACATATGTGTACTACCACGCCCGGCTAACTTCTGAATTTTCAGTAGAGACAGGGTTTCACCAAGTCGGCCAGAATGGTCTCGATCTCTTGACCTTTCTATACACCCGCGTCAGCCTCCCAAAGTGCTGGGATTACAGGTGTGAGCCACTGTGCCAGGCCTAAATCTCATTAATTTTTAAAAATTAAGAAAGGGGGCTGGGCAAGGTGGCTCATGCTGGTAATCCCAGCACTTCGGGAGGCTGAGGTGGGCGGATTATGAAGTCATGAGTTTGAGATCAGCCTGACCAACATGGTGAAACCCTGTATCTACCAAAAATCCAAAAATTAGCCAGGCATGGTGGCAGGTGCCTGTAAATCCCAGCTACTCAGGAGGCTGAGGCAAAGGAATTGCTTGAACCTGGGAGGTGGAGGTTGCAGTGAGTCGAGATTGCATCACTGCACTACTTCAGCCTGGGTGACAGAGCCAGACTCTGTCTCAAAAAAAAAAAAAAAAAAGAAATTAGGAATGGGAAAATGGCCTGGTGGCTCATGCCAGTAATCCCAGCACTTTGGGAGGCCGAGGCAGGTGGATCACTTAAGGTCAGGAGTTCAAGACCAGCCTGGCCAATATGGTGCAATCTTGTCTTTCTACTAATATCACAAAAATCAGCTAGGTGTGGTGGTACATGCCTGCAATCCCAGGTACTTGGGAGACTGAGGCAGGAAAATCACTTGAACCAGGAAGGTGGAGGCTGAAGTGAGCAGATACCATACTACTGCAGTCTAGCCTGGGCAACACTGAGTGACACTCTGTCTCTAAATAAATAATTTGGCCATGATGTGCTAAGGATGGATTTACCTCTTCCTTTTCCAGGTTACAATATTCCCTTACATATTAAGTGTGGACGAACAGTATCATACCCAAGGGGGGTGGCAGGTGGCTGTTTGGGAAGGGAGAATTAGTTCATTTTGCCATGTACATGTCTGAATGCACATGCCCCTTAAGATGAAACAAAACAGACGTGTGTCTTGACATGGAGAACCTTTTCTGACGTCTTCCCAGGGGAAACCAGAGAGATGTCCAGATCCACAAAGTTCAGAGATGGTTCCAAGACAGCATTCATATAACAAATATATACTCAATCTTCTATGTGCAAGATACATTCCAGAGATCTGCTCTTTGGATGTACTTAAAACCAGCTCTATTTTGGCTAATGCCCTTTTCGACCTTAGCCCAACTGCACGCAGGTGAAAAAAAAGAAAAAAAAACCCAACTCTATTTTGCATCAGAACACCTAGCCCAGTATCATATTAAGGACTTCAGAAATGCTAGATGAAAGAATGCCTAGTGGCAATGAATTTTAAAAAATATTCTGGCCATGCAAGGTGGCTCAGGCCTGTAATCCCAGCACTTTGGGAGGTGGAGGCAGGCTGATCATGAGGTCAGGCGTTCAAGACCAGCCTGGCCAACACAGTGAAACCTCGTTATCTGCTAAAAATACAAAATTTAGTCAGACGTGGTGGCACACGCCTGTACAGCTGTAGTCTTAGCTACTTGGGAGGCTGAGGCAGGAGAATCACTTGAACCTGCAAGGTGGAAGTTGTGGTGAGCCGAGATCACGCCACTGTGCTCCAGCCTGGGCAACAGGGAGACACTCTGTCTCAAAAAAAAAAAAAAAAAAATTGTCTTTTTTTTTTGAAATGGTTTCACTCTTATAGCACAGGCTGGAGTGCAGTGGCACAATCTTGGCTCACTGCAACCTCCGCCTCATGGATTCAAGTGATTCTCCTGCCTCAGCCTCCTGAGCAGCCGGGACTACAGGCATTCACCACCACATCCATCTCTTATTTTTAGTAGAGACAGGGTTTCAGCATGTTGGCCAGCATGGTCTCAATTTCTTGACCTGTGATCTGCCTGCCCCAGCCTCCCAGGGGGCTGGAATTACAGGCATGAGTCACTGTCCCCAGCCTTTTTTAAAAGTTTTTTGTAGAGAGGGGATCTCATCATGTTGCCCAGCTGGTCTCCAACCCCTGGTATTAAGTAATCCTCCTGCCTCAGCCTCCCAAAGTGCTGGGATTACAGGCACAAGCTACTACATCTGATGACAATGTTTATAATGAATCTGAATTTGCTAATGAAGAGGAAACTTTACCATTATTTTTCCCCAATGACTCCCAAGTCCTATTGGCAAATTGTAGCAAAAAAAGTTTATTTGCTATTGTTTGAATCTTGAAATACAATTCCTCACTGATGTATAAAATGGTGGTTATTAATCCATGCTAGCCCAATGAAAACTAATTTAAAATTATTTGTAAAAATGAGTCATTTTTGAATCTCTATTAAAATCTGAATACACAAATCTGTGCTAACACTGGAACTGCCTTCTCACTCTACATATAATTTAACTTCCAGCTTCAACCATCTGATGCTGAAATCTAAAGCGCCCTCATGAGTTAATGTCCCTGCCAAATCATGCAGACGGACAAACAAGGCTGGTGGTCTTTAACTGGTGGTGACAGAAAAGGCTGCAGTTTAGTGCTTAAACCTGCACTTAGTGGTCACCTTTCTATCCAGGCAGAGTAACTAAGGAGAGCTATGAAATGTCAAAAGAAAAACAGAGAACAGGACAAAGAGGCAATGTCAGCCAAGCCACTGCAAACCGGTCTGCACCCTTGTATTTCAGCCAAGGGCAGGCAATCCAGAATTACAGACTGCTTTCCTTAACTGGACCAAACAGTATATTTTTCCTCTGACAATCTTGTCAAGGGTTGCATTTCACTGTAACTAGTAAAATACAAAGTCCACCCCCATAAAAATGTTGTATTTCTCAGAAAATACATTAAAAATGACTGCTTTTACTTCGTCTTTTCTTCCGTGAATGCGTAGGTGTTTGGGTCTTCTATATTTCTTCTTTTATACAGGACACGGGCTGTTTGAAAACTTTCATTATCTGTATCATCTTCATTCATTTCAGTCACTTCAGATTTTCGTCTCTCCAAAATGTTGGTGTACAAACTGGTGTGGGGCCCTGGATTCAACAAGTAAAGATTATAATACACAAATGTACACAAGATTATGAATGTACCCAAAATATCACCTCTCTTCTACTTTTACAAGTGGTAGCCCATTATTTTAGGCCTGTTTCAATCTTTTGGTGATACTATTATAAACAATAAAGAACTGAGACGCTTATCAAACTTAGTACAGAAATTCATAATTAATTGGAATATAGCATGTTCCATTATAAGGTGTTACATAGAAAATTGCTAAATCAACAATAAAGATCTACCAAATGTGACAATATTCAATTTAAAATCTTAAAATGAGAGTAGCAGAAACTGCCTATCTTTCTTCAGGTTATCTGTATAATACCTGGTGTCCGGAATATTGGAGACAACTTTACCTGGCTATCCACAGTCTTCTCAGCAGTGTCAAGAGTGCCTACAGCCTTTTCCTTCTTCTTACGTAAAACCTTAAAATAAATTTTAAAAGACACATCGGCTTGAATATTGATCAGTTATAGTAGTCTTAAACGTTTTCCTACTTATCTTTCTCTAATATTGGACATGTTTAAATGATAAAAAAAAAATTTTTACCTGGCCTTTTGTAGACTTCTGACAATTAGTTTTTGAAATACTTTTCCGTTTTCTGTAAAATCTTTAATAAAGAAATTATATATTAACAGTCTCATAGCTTTTCTTTTTAAACTTAGCATTAGATTCTCATATATATTATCAGTAAATCCTCCCTAATGACATTTCAATTTAAAAAGCAAAACTCATCAATACAGTGAATAATCTCAAGTAAAGGGCAAAGCTAGGAGAAGCCCAGCTGAGGAACTGACAGAGCTGCAGAGGCTGAAGGGAAGGCCAAAATCTGGAGCTCACTGATTCACAGAATTCTGAATTCAGGAGGGTGGAAGCAGGAAGAATGTGCAAAGGCAGGCCACCCTCACCTCCCCTAAGTCACAAGCAAAGTTCAGGGAAAGCAGCGCTCGCATGCCGCTTTTCAAGCTTCACTGTCTCGGTTCCCAGATGGTTTCACAAGAGTACCAGGGCCTAAGGTTCAATCAGATTATCTACTTAAAAGACATTTCTGCTTCAGTATAATGGAAATAACAGAATCTGCTCTTATGTTTTAGGAAGAACCTACAATGTTTCAACAGTTTAGTCGGGCCAGGCACAGTGACTCTCGCCTGTAATCCCAGCACTTTCGGAGGCTGAGGTAGATGATCACTTGAGATCAGGAGTTTGAGACCAGACTGGCCAACATGGCGAAACCCCATTTCTACTAAAAATACAAAAATTTAGCCTGGTGTGGTGGTGCACACTTGTAATCTCAGCGACTCAGGAGGGTAAGGCAGGAGAATTGCTTGAACCTGGGTGGTGGAAGCTGCAGTGAGCTGAGATTGTGCCACTGCACTCCAGAATGGGCAACAGAGCAAGACTCTATATAAAAACAAAAAAAATTCAGTCAAAAAACTGGCTGGGCATGGTGGCTCACACCTGTAATCCCAGCACTTTGGGAGGCTGAGGTGGGCAGATCACCTGAGGTCAGGAGTTTGAGACCAGCCTGGACAACATGGAGAAACCCCATCTCTAAAAATACAAAAATTAGCTGGGCGTGGTAGTATGCACCTGTAATCCCAGCTACTTGGGAGGCTAGAGGCAGGAGAATCGCTTGAACCCAGTATGCAGGCTGCAGTGAGCCAAGGTTGAGGTAAGCACCAGGCTAGGTACTTTACGAGACACAGAGCCACCCCCTCCACTCCCCACAACAAATCACAGAAAAAGATTTCACGAAGAAATATTTACCAAAGAAGGAAAATCAGAATCGATTCCCTTTCTAGCTAGTTTCTTCCTGAGTAAACTTTCTTTCTTTTTAAATCGCTCCTCCATCCGTAGCTTTTGTGTTAGTGTCCGCTTCTGATTATAACGTTTCACTGACGGATATGACGGCTGCTTCAATGGAACATCCAGTCTTTAAAGAGCTCTTTATGGACTTTCTTAGGTGGCATAAGACGACCTATTTTTAAAAAGAAAAAAACATAAAAAGTTTCAACCAAATGGTAGGAAAGGGATTTTAATGTTAACTTTGGAATCTCCCCAGTGCCATTCCTCACAGTCAGCACGACATGGCTGGGTACAGTGGCTCACACCTGTAATCCCGGCTTCTCTCAAGGCAATGGGAAGTGAATAGAGAGATGCTACCTGGGCAGCCTTGTCAGCTGTGAACTTGGGTACCTAAGATGGCCACAGGACACCACGGGCACAGGGAGGCCAGAAACTTCGCTCTGCCTCCCAAGGGCAGCAGGATCTGGAGACGGATGCTCTCTGCACTCTGTGGACTGCAGGGTCGGGGCTGCACTGGCTCCTTTCTGCAGGATGAATTTCTAATCTGGTGCTGTCACTCCTCTACGCCTTCCAGCTTCTCTCGTGTGGAAGAGCTACAGCCACTGCCATTTAGATGGATTCTGCAATGCGATTCCTGACCTTTGCTGCTGTCCCACTGCCCTCAGGATGAATTCTGAACTCGCTGACTTAGAAAGCCTTCGGTTGCCCGACCTGAAGCCTATTCCTGCTCCCTCATCTCTTGCTACTTTTCCTCACATTCCCTCACAGCCAAATGGTCAGGCACCTCTAGTCTGGCATTCAATGTCCCTCAGCCAGCAATGGTCTGTCTTCACTTCTGTCCCTTCACTGGCTGGCTCCTGCTTAGTCTTCAGGTTTCAACGTCAATGCTCTTTCCCCAGATAAGTCTTTCACAGCCCATAAGCATGGGTTAGCTGCTCCTCCCGTGTGTCCCCAAGGTGGCTTGTCCAGTGCCATTTAGGATAAAAACAGCTCTCATGCTGGGAGGTTTTAAAATTCCAATTAGAATCTGCCTGCGACACACACTGAAATCCTTGCACCGTTCTGTAAGACTCATCCACAGAGGAAGTGGCATGTCCAAGCAGTTAAGCAAGCCGCCCTTCCCACCAGTCACCCACCAGCAGCAGGCACCCAGGCAACCCTGCTACCACAGAGACAGGAGCACTTACACTCCAAGAGCCTTTCACCAAACAGGTAGTTGTTCATTGTTTCAGCAACTGTCTTGGCAACATCCTTACACTCAAACTCCACAAATCCACAGCCTTTGCTGTTTCCAGTCTGCAACAGAGAATCCGCCACAAAAACAGAACAATTAGATTTGAACGCATTATTAAATTTCTGAAACCCCATTATTTTAAATAATGGATATTAGCCCCTTGTCAAACATTATGACACATTTAATTCTAACTTCAATTCACATATTCTGGAGACTGTTATGGGAAAAAGAAAAGATGGAAGAATCTCAACACACAGCTGATTTTCTGGTATTCTTGGGATTTTCATTACATATGATAAACATACAATTCCTATGGCTGGAATTTATTCAACAACAACACCCCGTTGTATAAAAGTCTTTAGTAGGGTGTTGTGGCTCACGCCTGTAATCCCAGCACTTTGGGGGTCTGCAGTGGACAAATCACGAGGTCAGGAGTTCGAGACAAGCCTAACCAACATGGTGAAACTCCATCTCTACTAAAAATACAGAAATTAGCCAGGTGTGGTGGTGTGCGCCTGTAATCCCAGCTACTCAGGAGGCCGAGGCAGAAGAATTGCTTGAACACGAGAGGTGGAGGTTGCAGTGAGCCAAGACTGCGCCACTGCACTCCAGCCCAGGCAACAAGAGCAAAACTTTGTCTCACCAGCATGGGGAGGGGAAAGACAGATGGTGAAGTGGCAGACAGACACTATGAAATCCAACCAAGTGTACCATCACTGTAAACCGATATAAATCTTTTGAGAAGTGATTTAAAACCATAAGTTATGTAATTAAAAGAAAAAAAAAAAAAACTTTACTCAGTAATTCCAGAATGTTGGAAATACCAAGCACAGTCAAAATTAGAGTGAGCTTGGCTTTACTACTCAAAAATGCTGGAAATGGTAAATTATCATGCATCTCCTCAGTGAGCAGGATTTTTATAAGAAAAATGGCCAGAACTCTTCAAGAAAAAACCAAACAAGCAATAAAGGGCAAGGAGACTGTTCTAGATAGGCTTAGAAGCTTTAACAAGTAAACGTAATGCACAGATCTTGAGAGGGACGCAGAACAGGTAACAAAAAAGAATAGCTAAAGACATTTTAGGGGCCAGGCACAGTGGCTCACGCCTGTAATCCCACCACTTTGGGAGGCCGAAGCCGGAAGATTGCTTGAGGCTAAGGGCTCGACACCAGCCTGGACAACAGAGGGAGACCCTGTCTCTACAAAAGAAAAATAAGAAATATTACCCACGCGTGTGGCACGCACTGGTAGTCCCAGCTACTTCGGAGGCTGAAGTGGGAGAACTGCTTGAGCCCAGGAGTTTAAGGCTGCTGCAGTCAGCCACGATCCTGTCACTGTACTCTGGCCTGGGCAACAGAATAAGATCCCGTCTCAAAAACAAAACAAGGCTGGGTGTGGTGGCTCATGCCTGTAATCCCAACACTTCGAGAGGCTGAGGTGGGTGGATCACCTGAGGTCAGGAGTTCGAGACCAGCCTGGCCAACATGCTGAAACCCTGTCTGTATTAAAAAATACAAAAATTAGCCGGGTGTGGCGGCGCATGCCTGTAGTCCCAGCTACTCGGGAGGCTGAGGCAGGAGAATCACATGAACCTGGGAGGAGGAGATTGCAGTGAGCTGAGATTGTGCCACTCAACTCCAGCCTGGGCAACAGAGATTTCTTCTCGAAAAACAAAAGAAAACAAAACAAACATACATGCCAAAAACCATTTTGGGAACAACTGTAGATACACAAATATAGTGCATTATATACAATTATGCTGTGGTTATACTGAAAGATATGTCCTCATTCTCAGATTTGTGATGAAGTATTTAAAGTATTATAGCCGCCCCTTTTTTATAATGGTTCAGAAAAAAAGTGTGTGTGTACGTGTTTATATAGAAACAAAAAAATGAAGCTAATGTGTTAGGATGTTAATAATGGGTGAATCCAGGTGAGGACTGCAGA